GCATTCACCTTTCAACGGAGACACCTGGAATTAGATTGTGGCTGTTCCCAAACCTTTCCAAGGCTCCAAAGCTATTTTCCTCATAGAAAACAAGTATGCCACACAACATATGCCACTTTTTACCTATAGCATTATTGATTACAAAAGATGCTGAACCCAGGGGGCACTTTCGATAATTAAGTTCTCCTTCTTGAATACACATACACTCTCTCCTTGAGAGTAAACTGACCAGAACTCCTGCGGCCATGGAAAGCTCTGATGGGTATCTGGTGATGTGTAACTGAGAAGAGCTGAAATCCAAATTAAACCCAAGCAGACGGTCTGTAAGACTCCATTAGATCATCAGGGTCATCAGAGGTCCGTCCTGAACAGAAACATGGACTGAAGGACACTGTACACCTCGGATTAAAGATGCCAGACTGATTGGCTGTTAGATAAGCACTGGAAGATGCTAGATTGGATGCAGTTAAGTGTTACTGCTCTTAGATTTGGGGGAAGAAAAACTTTAATCCATCACAAGTACGGGAAGCTTCCAGCAAAAACAACCATGAAGCTTAACCATGAAAATAATCATAGAACTGCCCGATGTGTCATCCTGGAGCTAAAGTGCATTTACTTCACGGAGTCATGGTGTTTCTAGTCACTTCTGCAACTTCTTTAAGGTGTCTTTGTGCTTTTGTTCCAAACTGCGATAAACGCCATTCAATTTTTTTTTGCAAACCGCAAAGTGTCCATCAGCGCAAAGAAGATGAGGAGGTGGAAAATGCCAAATGAGGGTTAAAATTCTTTTAAAATCCTTCCATTAGGAAAGTACAGAATCAGGCCATTCTCCAGCTGATCACAGTTAATAAATTCCAGTTTAGATGCCCTAAAGTTACCAGGAGGTGAAAGGAAAGAGGGCAGCAGATAACAACAGTGAGCAGTGAGTCCAGTATCTGGAGTGGTTTCTGACACTGTTTAACCACTTGACATCTGGCACAGAACATTGATTTGTGGCATTTTATAAAAAAATAGGGTAATGGGGTTTTGGGGAAAAAAATTAATGTATTTTTAAACAAATTTTTAAATAATAAAATCTGGATTTGAAACTGGCGCAATGGGTAGCACTGTGGCACTTCCAGTTAGAAGTTGGTCCTTTTTGAAAGTTTGGAGCAGAAAATGTATATTTTCCTCAAACCACTTTTGTGTCTCAAACACTTTTTTACTCAAATTCATCTAAATGGATTTTTGGTGTTTTGAAAAAAAAAAACAAAAAAAAAAACTTTTTTAGATGATCAACAACAGCCTCCCTAATCTAGAAGCAATCCACGCAAGCCCAAGAAAGCAGTCGACACATTAATCAAACACAATGCGGCACTTTTAATATCAAACCTGTGCATGTTTCTCTTGCTTTATTAAAATAGCTCTTTATGTCACATCCATCCCTCACAGTGTTGATCACACCTCTTAATGCACCATTAGCAGAGAAAACCCTGATAATGTTGTTTCTCTATTGTTGTTATTCATCCATTGAAAGTCGGATGGGTTTTCTGAGGGCTCCATTAGAAACCTCTGTGTATGTGCTGAGACCTTGGAGTCAGTCGAGTGCACATCTCCAGTGCAATTTCTCTGGGACATTAAAGTGACAAAGACATCGGTGGACCTTCTTGTTGTGTTTGGATGTGTATACCATTCATTTTCATCACAGTGTTTATTAGAAAAGCTGTTAGCAAGCTAGACTTTCTCTAAATAATGCTGTCCCTTACCCAGGTAACTACCTCGTAGTATTAGCACAAAAAATACGGAGAACAGCAGCCAACGCTTATAAACATCACAAAATAATACAACAAATAACATTTGTGGACTGAGTGAAACACTGTTCGTCCCATTTAAATCAATTTTGCAACAGGTTTTGTTGGATATAACATAAAGATGGCGAACATTTAATTAACCATTAGTGACTTGTCCTTTAATCAAAACTTCAGTGTTCCTTACCACAAATCCAGGATTCAGCTTGAAGCTTCCAGTTATTGCAACAAACCATTTGCTTCACAATTTCCTTTTTTTTTACCTTGTCCTTTCCTGCTCAAAAGCACTCCCTACAGGGGAGTAGGTGCTTTGTTTGAGTTGGAATGTTTTGTTATTTCCAGGGGAATTTATGTACTTATTATTTATTTTCCTACCAGTTTGCATCAGAACAGGAGGGTGTTAAAAAAATAGGGGAGTGGATGAGAGATGTAGGTGAGGGGGAATGACTTGCTTCCCTTGCTTCACAATTTCCCCTTTACGTTGCTCAAAACACATATACGGCATGAATAGGCTTTTTGCCATCCCTCCAGGACTTCCGAGTACCCTGACATCATTTGCATACCTTCTATTTTTAACTCAATAAGCATTGATTTTAATACAAACTCTTTATTGCACATATTATTCACGATTTAGATGCATAAGAGCTTCATAATTTTAACCCAAAGGCTTCAATATGACATTGACTCATCCTTTACAGCTACAATGGCTTCAACTCTTCTTTGAAGGCTTTCCACAAGGTTAAGTTGTGCGTTAATGTGAATATTTGGCTATTCTACCAGAAGCACATTTGGGAGGTGAGACTGATGTTATGTCAGAAGCCCTGGCTTGCAAACGTCATTCCCTGCACCAAGTTGGATTAAAGTCAAAAGACCAGGCACAATCTCGCAAACCATCTCCGAATCTCTAGTGGCAAGAGGAAGTGCCAACTCTCTGAAGGAAACTAAATACATCATGCTCTCTACACATTTTTCTTAACCCCTTTTGTGTGTTTGGGACATGTTCCACCACTTCAAGGCAAACATTTTCTGTTTTGGCAAAATTTAATGATTTTTGGTGACAAATCTAATCTTTTTTTTTTTTTTTTTACACATATTTAAGGAAATTTGCACTCAAAAATGCACTCTGAGGCGGTTTACAACCCTTTTGTGTTGTTTGTGGCTGTTAAAACCAAACTGCAGTAGAAACCTTTCAGGTAAATATTTTTTTTTATGTAAATGTACTAATTTTATTTAAATTATGTAAATCTACTAGTTTCATTCATTAAATCTTGTGGACCACTTGTATGTTCTTCTTTTCAATCCTGAGCCGCTGGTGCCATGAACTATGCCACCTTTTGAAATGGGACTACAGTTATACACAGAGCCTAAAAACAGTATAAATGTCTAAATTAAGTTTAGGTTTAATGTAAAAAAAATGACCACATTTAGCCTGCAATTAGCCTGTACTTAGACATCCTTTGGACGTTAATACAGGGCGTTCAGCTAAAATTGGTTCAAAAATGACATGCAATATGGACATGTTGGTAATGTTTGAAATGTCCAAGACTGTGATAAAAGATTTTTTAAAAATCCAGGTCACAATCGTTTTTCCTATGGAAAATAAGTATTTTTTTGTAGTTTTGATTAGAACTGAGGTAAATAGAGATTTGTCCTGGGATTGTGAAGGGTTAAGATAATCTGAAAGACCTCAGCACCCACTGGGACATTATTCCCAATCTCTTCCACATTGTTATGAAAGCGCTGACAGTTGACCGTGGAATCTTTGGTAACGAGGAACAGTTAGACTAGACTTGCAGAGGTGGCGTCCTATTACAGCACTGAATTCCCTCGGCTTCCAGAAATGTCCATTTGTTCACTTATTGTCAGGAGTCTGACAGTCTGGTTCTCGTTGAGATTAATGGTTAATAAGCAGAACCCTGGCAGGGAATATTTGCCTTTTAGACTTTAATCTTGTTTCCATTTCTCAAGCCCATTTACATTTGTGTTGAGATGTAACATCAAGAGTATTTTGTCTGAGTGTGGCGTTGTGGAAACACTTTGTGCTAGAGAGTTGTTTCCCATGTTTGTGATGCCCTCGTCATGGCTACATTCTCCCTCTCATCTCCGAGTCATCTTACCAGTGTTTACTGGTTCCCTTGTAGTCTACTGTTACGACCCCTAGCTCGCAGGATGCAACGAGCTCTTGGACCGCACATTGAGGAAGCTATAAAATTACAAGGAAGCTATAAAATGTGCAACACAAACTTCGGTAATTCAAAACACTAAAATGTGTTGACTATAAACCATACCAAACAGGATTAAGAACAACTCAAATACTCATTGTATTAAAATCATGTTCAAATAGAAAAAAATAAATAAACAAATAATCCAACAATGCGTTTCACAGGGTTCAAGGGAACACAAACAACAATAAACACGAATAAACACGTAATACCTAGTTCCAAAAGTATATAAGTATGTTATTTACCAAATTAAATAAACAATAAAACGAATGCTGCAGAAATCAATGCACAAACTAATTAGCACACAAGACCACAAAACACACACGCAAGCTGTACCACCACACACCAACAAAACCAGTACCTGGATTGTTCCAAATTAGCCTAAACCAACCCCTTCCTAATTACCCTCCACTCAGAGAGCCACAGCCTGCTGTTGGTCTGATCAGAATAGCTCGGGTGTCTGGCGGTTTACTCACAATTCCTCTGTTTGCTGCCGCTCCACCCAAAAAATCCCTGTCTGCTGCCGCTCCATCCATAGAGCACAGGTAAAAAACAGTTTGGTATTTTTTATTATAGTTTGATTTTAGTTTAGAATTTTTTATAATTCAGTTTTTACATTTGTTTGTACTATTTCTGCTTTTCAATTTTAGTTGGCTAATCCTCCAAAGGCCAGAGAAAGTCTCGTTTCATCTGTACCTGCAACTGCTCAAGGATCCACGACCGCGTCTTCTCCATACATATCCATTCAACATCTTTTAAAGGCTGTCCTGGATGGCAAGAGAGTTTCTCCAGGTCAACAGTGAGGGACAATTAACTCCAGAGAGCACCAGCTGGAGCATTTTTATTTTTGGAAAAAATGAATAAATAATTTTAATTACAGACATTGTATGAAAATGTGAATAAGCTTGAAAAATTATATCTATGAATTTGGCAGACGCTTTTATCCAATGCGACTTACATTTGAATGAATGAACAGATATTTGTCAGTTCCTGCTTTCCCTGGGATTGGAACCCACAATCTTGGCATTGAGAGTGCAATGCTCAGCCAACTGAGCCACAGCAAAGCACACATTAACCCCAACTATTATTTTTAGGAACTAAATGGACTTAGAAGGAGGGTTAAAAAGGTAATGACTGGTGTCTGAAAGGAAGACTTATTATTATTTTATTAAATTTAAAATTCAATTTTATTAAATTTAAAATTGCAGACATACTTAAAATGGTTGTTTCAATTTTATGGTTTTACAATGAAAAGGTATATAATTATGAGGCAAAAAGCACTGCTTCTATCTCGTGACCTCTAGGGGGCACTGTGCTCAAACTCGGCACACAGCCTCAGATCACGGTACTTATAAAACCCACCCATTTTGGTATTTATATACTAAAGCATTACTGAAATATTGCCTTACAACCATTTTGGCGAATGTTATGTCATAATTGTTCACGCCCCAATCATTAACACTTTGTTGTTTCTACACTATACCATTCAAAAGTTATTAACATAAACATAAGTGCAATTTCAGACTAGTTGAGGCGCTATAGAGTTTGAGTTAGAGGGTTCGGATTGGGTCAGAATACTCATAATGGCCAACTGTAACTGTAACTTTTTTGCAAACTGTTCATGGGGCTGCCATTGATACATAGTGGAAGCGGAAGAAGAAGAAGAAGAAGAAGAAGAAGAAGAAGAAGAAGAAGAAGAAGAAGAAGAAGAAGAAGAAGAAGAAGAAGAAGAAGTTCACATAAACTTTCACTTCACAAAGCAAATCAAGCACATTTCCAAGCAAATCAAAGTATATTTATAAAGCACACATGCCACAATCAAAAGAATACAGGGGGAGCTGTACATGCGGACAGAGTAAAATATGACAGAACAAAAAGACACATTACAAAGTCTGAAAAAAGAGCCTAACCCTAAAAGCATCACGCAGTTCTACTGAAAGGCCTGTGTGGTCTTTAATTTAAAAACCAAAAAAGATTTAGTAGAAGAGAGATGCAAAGCTTATGGCTGCCGAGAAGGCCTCCTTGAGGTTTAAAATATTCCTGAAAAACAACTTATTATTAGATGATCATAGTGCCAAGGCTAAAGTATATAACATAAGCATATCTGAGATATACATGGGTCCAGTATCATGTATATGTGTTCTAAGGTGCAAGTAAATTATTGGACTTGTTGGATGGAAACAGTGCTTTATTAACAAATATTTAATGCGATATTCCAGTTTTGAGAGTAAATTTAATTTGCATGGCTTTTGGCACACTCCATTAAATGTGGGTTAGAGTTTGATGTAACCGACATCCAAAAGGACTTATTTAATCAGAATAGATATAACGGGAGACCTTAAATCTCCCAAAGATATTAGCATTTGGGAGCAAATAAAAAGAGATAAAATAGGTCCAAAATTGACCTCTGGGGAACTCCAGATTCCACAGAACTCCCATTGAACCCAATGAAAGCTGTCAGTAAAATATGATCTAAACCAGACCAAGATGTGCATAAAATTAGAAAAAGTGCATAAAACAATGAAAACTGAGTAGGATAAACTTTTATCTGACACGAAAAAACTGCATAAACTACGATGGAAACGTATTTTGAGAATAAATTTCAATGCAATGGCAATGCGTTTTTCTGTCAGAACTGGGGCATGATGGGGCACCATTAATGGTCCAAACTATTGCTCATCGTAAATGTTGTTTTGGTCATTCCTTTGTTCATTTACATGAAGCTGGGAAGGATTACTAAGTTTAGAAGTCCATAACAATATCTTTTCAGAAAACAATGAAATTCCAAACTGTTCTCTTCCATTTTCTTGCCATTGTATATTGTCTGTATCTATTTACTGTTCTGCATTCATCAACTTGTGCTTGCATTCAAGATGCACACTTTACCGGGCCTCAATGTCCCTTAGAATAAAACCCAGTGAGCAGCATTCTTTATTAGTTGAGTAACAGAAAATAATGTGGTGTAAGTGCGAGTGTGTGAGTGAGCAGCGAGGCTAAAAATATAGCCTTGCAGGAATGACAAACATGTAAAGTCTGATTCTGTCTCTGCGACTCCAGGGACCTGCAGCAGCCGGCAGAATGCAAAGAGGAAACTGAACAAGTGTTTGTGTACATGTGTCTCTGCAGGATTCCAGGCTCTTGCATCAGATGAAGCACATTAATGTCAGCTCATCTTTTATATGGAATCATTTATTAGTGTTCTGTGAATTACACTCGGCCACTAATGAGAGCGATAGTTTATTAAATGCCTTCATTAGTCAAGAGTTGACTTTTTCTAATAAAGTTGGCAGTGAATATTGCGAATAATGTTGGCTTTCTGACAAACTCTTTACTCATTAGAAAGGAATGAATCCTTCAAGTAATGACTGCTGGGTCTTTCTAATTACAATCAAATTCAAGTCACTGATTTTTTGCTCAAATGAGTATTTTTTAATTATAAATGTTTATTCAGCTTTAATGTTAATGTGTTTTCTGAATATGTCCAATTTAAATGTTCACTTTCATCTCTTAATAAATCACTATGTGCACAATATTATTCTAGTAAAATCCCAAATCATGGTAAACAACACAAAACAAAAAGCAGCTCAAGTGTTTCACAGATCAAGCAACATACCGAGAAATAAATATTCTGGTGGATGCTTAAAAAAAAGATACAAATATTGGGTCAGAAACAAGGGTCATGACTAAAGGCCAATATTTTTCTAGAAAAAGCAATATTTGCCATCTTGATTTGAACATTTTGGCTGATTATAAATAATTCTTAGTTGCGACCCAGAAAGCACACAAGAACCAGCACCCCTCCTCCCTTCAGAAATCTTCTCAGCCTCATACAAAACATATTTTAAACAAAAAAAAGTATTGTTAGCGATATAAAGAGCTGTCAATTTAAATATATTTATCTGTATATGTTTGTGTGCGAGTGTGCGTACGTGTGTGTGTGTGTGTAAATAGTGTGTGTGCGTGTGCGTGCGTGTGTGTGTGTGTAAATACATTGACAAATTTTCAGATTTTCTGACCATTTCCTTTTCAAAGTTAGTGGCTGGGTGAACCCATTTAATTTCAAACAACTGTGTTTACTCTTTTCAAATCCGAATAATGACAACAGATATTTTCCAAATTAAAACTTTCCTTGAAACTTTCCCCAAAAGTTTACACCCCAGCTATCAGCTACCATAAACTTTTGTAACATGAATGACAGCCTGAAGTCTCTTGAGATAGTTGTCGATGAGGTTCTTTATCTTCTCTGTTGGTAAAGCAGCTTCTTCTTGGTAAAAAGCCTCCAGCTCTAGTAAATTCTTGGGTTGTTTTGCATGAACTGAACGACTGAGTTCTCCCAAGAGTGGTTTAATGATATTGAGCTCAGGAGATTGAGATGGCCGCTCCAGAACATTCACTTTGTTCTGGTGGAACCAATGACAAGTGGACTCTCTCTTGTGTTTTGGATCGTTGTCGTGTTGGAATGTCCAGTTACGTCCCATGTGCAGCTCCGGGGCCGATGAGTGCACATGTTTCTCTAGTAACCTTTGAAACCTGTTGGATTTATCTTCCAATCAATATTACCCATATTTCGTGTGCCTTTGGAGCTCACACATCCCCAAACCATCAGTGACCCACCTCTGTGTTTAACAGTGTAGATGTTATTGAACATGCTGACTCATCTCCAAATGGATCATTTAAATTTTTGTCTCTAGCTCCAATTAACTTTTGTAAGCGGCTACTTTGTAGTATTTGCGTAGTATTGGGTTTCCTCTGGCAACTCAACCATGCCACCAATTTTTTGAGGGTCTCCTTATTGTGCTCCTTTATACACCCACGCAACATTTATTCAGAGAGTCTTGTATTGGATGTCCCTATAGATCTATAGACTGCTCAGAATTCAGAAAGGTCGGATCCCCTATGGATGAAAGAGGCAAGGGTTTATCAGGAGCCGAGAAACCCTTAATGTACAAACATTGATTACAAGCAAACAGGTCAAGGTGAGGATGGTCGATGTTCACCAATCACTCAAACCCCTTTGTGCCATTATTAAATGAGTTTGAATTGAAATAAGATTCACTTTTGGCCTCTATTCAGAGGAAGTGAAAAGTCAAACAAACACAGTCACAATAAGAACTAATTTAACAAGTGAGAAATTTAGGTGCTGAAAAAACGATGTTACCTTGCTGTCCATCAAAGAGAAAAGCTTTGCAGAACAGATTTCTGAACTGTCTGCAAAGCACTAGATGAGTTCATATTCGGTTCATTCAAAGTTTTTATCAGAAACATTGTTTTTAAACTGCACATTAATGAATGACTTCGAGAGAGTTTTAAAAATGATGCAAGATGAAAGTAGACGTTTTAAGCAAGCTGTAGTTCAATATGATGTTTGGGACTTCCCGTCGGTGTACATAAAAAAATTACAAAATTTTACAAATAAAAAAAGTTATATATTATTGGAATTCATTTTTGCATTTTGGGGGGTAACACAGGTCATGTATTTCAGAATGCATTTGATCATTTGATTTTTTTTTTTAATGTTATTAGAGACTCATTCTGATCTATTACAGTTTCTATCTGAGCAGTTTTCATGAAATCCTTTCTTGAAGAACAAAATCCTTTTTCTCACAATTCACCATCGAAGGTTATTGGATTGTATATTACTGTAATTTATGCAGAACCGTTGTGTAAATTATTTGTGCACACTTGTATTCGTTATGAGTGCAATTCAACTCCCTGTTGCGTGAAACACATTTCACTCTGGAATGAAATGAAAGCATCAAGGAAAACGTCCAGAAGTAAATGTGCTTTCATTTAAATGAGCTATTAGGGGAAAATATGACCATGCTTGGTTGCACCTGTCATATCTGTTCTCTGGTTATGCATTAATAACTTAATATTTGATGCAGATGGGTCTCTAGGCAACTGAAGCAGGAGAATTGTGTGTGTTGGATATTTTTCTGTGAATTAGCCCCAGTTAATGCTACAGAAACAATGCTGCTTGTCTTGTGTCCCTCAGAGCCATGGTAACAATGTTTCAAGTGGATTTGGAAATAAGATTTGTGCGTGTCATACACGATCTCTTGGGAT